GCTTAGTATGGATTCTACTTTTCATCTAAATATGTTTTCAGACCACACACCTAATGGAAGCGGGAACCCATACACCACAGAAACTACTCAGGAATTTCTCAGTAAATACACACAAAATATAAAGTAAATAATGCCAGAAACCACAGAAGACCATTTAAAGCTACATGTACATGCCCCAAAAGATCAAAACTGTTTCAGTGTACAGTATGCGGAAACAAACAAACAGAAGGATTACTCTTTAAATCATCTATGTACATAAAAATCATTTTGAATGCTTAGTTTTTAACATTAATCAAATTGAAATGTATGAAAAAATTGGTAATACTGAAAAACAATTCCACTTACAAAGAGTAGATTAAAAGTGTGTAACCCTGCAAGTTAATTATGTCAACAAAAGCTTATTAGAGTCAGAAGTTACAACAACCAATTCATATGGTCCCTTCTCTTCTAACATATTGACTGTGTTTATTTTAAATACATATTGGAGCAATTTAAGGAGTCCTCCCATGGATGGACTGTTACTACAACTGGAAATTTTGTTCTGCTCTGTTGCCTCTGTAAGCTCAGCGTAGCAACGCAAACCACTTCTCAACCTTGAACTACTACAGCTGTCATACAGTAGTTCAAGGTCTACTGTGTGACAGCTGTAGTCAAACATGGTGACATTGCCTTAGGTAAAAACGTGGTGTAAAGGATGGGTATAGATTGTTAACAGTGACTACATTTTCAAAATTGTCCAGTAGTAACCATGTTAACCACTGAGCCCAGTTTATTAGTGTAGAAATGATCTACCTTTACCAGCTATATCTCAAAAGACTTAACAACACAGCAGATCAACACCTTTCAATGCTATAGCAAAGCTATGATAAACTCACTTCCAACAAAGACAATCCATCTTTTGCCCTGCTCAGGGATAACCCAATGTAGATGGTGTGCAATGAAAATAACAGGCCCCTTTACCCAGATACATCACAGATGGTAAACATCTGCTTCCACTGACTCATTTCAGGGAAGAATAGTCTTCCTAAATGTAGTGCACTGTACTGAACCACAGCTACCTGAATACACTTTCTGAGATTGCTGCTGCCAAAAGACATTTAATCGGTTATTAAATCGAAGGGTTTACTTGCATCTTTAAGTGGTAATGGGTATAGGGAAAATATGAGCATTTTTCATACGGTGAAAAAAAATGCATACATAAAAATTATTTAAAAATAACAATAAAGTGAAAATCTTACTGGCTGAATGCAGTCTTTAAAAAGTGGAGGAGAGGGAAAAGCAGCAAAGATCAACACTCCAACATAAAGGTAGGTTAGCCCCACTAAAAGATAAGCCACAGACAGGTCACGCACCTGAAAACATACCAAATTTACCTTAGATGCATCAGAATTAAAGCTTTTGATACTGAATTGTGTCATCTAAATTTACTTAGCAAAAAACAGATTTGAAGAGTACTAATATTTGGAAGAACATGGATAAATAACACTCACATTGTTCTTTTGGTCCTTGTTGTTCTTCATTAATGTGATGATGCAGTTGTGAATGAAGAAGGCCAGAGTGAGAACACCAGTGAGCTGAGGGAAGAGCAATCTGAACTCTGAAAGATCATAATTAAAACATAGATACATTCTTTAATGTAAAGAAACTGAGAACACACACAGACACACACACATCAGGCATAACATAACCATCTGCCTAATATTGTGTTGATCTGCCTTATGCTTTCAAAACAGCCCTCACCCATCAAGGCATGGACTCCACAAGACCCCTGAAAGTGTGCTGTGTTATTTAGCACCAAGATGTTAGCAACAGATTTTTCAACTGCTGCAAATTACAATGTGGGGCCTTCATGGATCGGACTTGGTTGTTCAACACATCACACAGATACTTGAATAAATTAAGATCTGGGGAATTTGGAAACCAAGTCAACACCTCAAACTTCTTGTTGTTCTCCTCAAACATTCCTGAAACATTTTAGCTTTGTGACAACGCACATTGTCCTGCTGAAAGCACCGCAGCAATCAAGGAATATAGTTTTTATGAAAGGGTACGCATGTTCTACAATGCTTAGGTAGGTGGTATGTATTAAAGTAACATCCACATGGATGGCAAGACCCAAGGTTTTCCAGCAGAACATCAGCCAAACCATCACACTGCCTCTGCTGGTTTACCTCCTGCCCATAGTTCATCCTGGTGGCAGAATGAAGCAACGCACATGTACCCGGCCATCCACATCAAAAAAAACATGATTCCTCAGATCAGGGCACCCCCTACCAGTGCTCCATGTCCTAGTTCTCAATCTCACATGCCCATTCTTGGCACTTTTGGCAGTGGACAGGTGTCAGTATGTGCACTCTGGCTGATCTGAGGATATGGCCCATATGCAGAAAACTGCAATGTACTGCGTATTCTAACACCTTTTTTATCAGAACTAGCATTACATTATTGAGCAATTAGAGCAACAGTAGCTCAACTGTTGGATCAAACCACATGGGCCAGCCATCCCTCCCCTTAGCACTAGTGAACCTTAGCTGCCCATGATCCTGTCACTCGTTCACCACTGGGCCACTTTTGATAAATACTGATTACTGCAGACCAACAACACCTCCACAAAAGATGCCGTTTTGGAGATGCTCTGACCAAGTCATGCAGCCATCACAATTTGGCCCTCATCAAATCTTGTCAAAATCCTTACATTTTCCCTTTTTTTCTGCTTCTTACATATCAGCTTTGAAGATAAAATGTTCACTTGCTCTGTCAGTGGTCATAATATGCCTTATTACATGGCTCCATGGGTGTACAGCCAATGGACCTCCGTTTTGCACCTCAATAATATAATATTTAGATTTTCAGCTGGTGTCATGACTTTTTGCACCTCCCTTTCTTCATGTGCTTTTTCCCTGTGTTATTTCATATTATTACACAATTTATGGACATCTTTGGTGTCATTTCTTTCGGTTATTACCAATATCTACATATACATCTACATTCCTGTTGAAAGACACTCAAAGAAGCATTAACACCAGTTTTACCTGGAACATAGAATTCTGTTTTGTCAAACCAGTGGAATTCCAGGTGAAAGCCTAGGCGGACAGCTTTGACAGTGACCAAAACAATCAGGTAGACCACTGATATGGTGCCTGTACAAAATGGATGAATGACATCAATACATTAATGGATGAATTGCTGATGCAACACAGAAAGCAGATTAATCAAGCCCCACAGTTAACAATGAATTGACGTATCTCTACTCTACATTAGAGTATGCTTATTTAACTAAGTACAAATGTTAAATAAAGGAAAACCATGATCAGTATTGCACTTCACCACTCATTCATCTTTGAGCAAATGTGAAATTCTTAATGAGAAGACACCAGTCTTAACTCCATGTCTACAAAGAAAAGGATCTAGCCATTTTTTCGAGCCTTCAGTCAAAATGATGTGACAAAAAGAATACATTTCTATGCTGGCCCCTTTTTAATCAAATGCCAACAGTGCATTGTAAAGAAATTCCAGTACCCTCTATATACGAAGCCCAAGTTTTCTGACTAATCTAAAACAATGCGACTGCCGTTGGTAAATAGAACGGTTCTTATGTAGCGCTTTTATACTCTACTCGAGCACTTAAAGTGCTTTATACTACAATATGCCTCCCCCACTCATAGAAGTTTTCTTCTAAGCTTCGGTACTTTCTATCTAACATTCATACACATCCTCACATTTCGATGGCTGCATTGAAGAGCAACCTGGGCTTATCTTGCTCAAGGATATTTTGGCATGCAGACTGGAGCAGCCAGGGATTGAAAGATAAATGAGTGGACAATGCTGAAAAAACTGAAAGCGTTTTTTTTTTCCATCTGGATAATCCTGATACATTCCCACCCAGGGTGGGGTCGCTGTGGCTCCAGTCAACCTCTTGATGTCTTACCCAGGAAAGTGAATCTTGCAAAGAAGGACGCTGAGCGGAAGCAGAGCAGTGGAAGAAGCAGAATGATGAGATAGAAGGGGACAGTGTTGGTTTTACTCCAGTAGCGTTCAAAAGGGTTCACATCGGACATATTTCCATTGTCACTGAGGAAAAGGGTGCTGATGGTGTTGTTCCCTCCAGGGTTAGTATTTGGGTAAGGGCAGATGACTGGTGAACAAATTAACAGAATATCAGCAAACACTGTTAATTAACTGGGTAACACAAAATTATAAAATGCACCAGATCAAAGGCATAAAGTACATCTTTGTTTTCAGTCACATGCTTTTCCAGTCTCCTTTTGCTTTTTGCCTAACCGCTGTCTGTTTGGTGGTCTTTGTGAGGAGGTTCACTAATATTATTTCATTTCAAACATTTTGCCTCTAGATTTAACCATCAGACATTCCCAGACTTTTATTCTAAAACTAATTCTAACTTTAATAAAAATCTGAAAACAGACTGGAAATATGGGCCAAAAAGCTTTAACTTTTACAATATTTAGTATGCAGGTGGTCTATGTCCTCTTTACAAAGCAGTAACTTTGTGATTCCCTGGATGTGAATTATTTACTTGGAATTTATAACCTTTTTTGAAAGGTATATGATAAAGCTGAAACTTTGCATACAGCAAGTGACTTACCTTTTTCTGAGCCATTGGTTTCCAACTCTGAATCTGACACATTGATATTGTGAACATGGTCTATGGACAGAGAAGAGGAAGCCATCGGTTAAGAGAAACGAGCCTTCTTGCAAAAGCCAAAAGCTTGATAAAGCAAATAATGAATTTACATCTTTCTGCACAATGTCTTTGTGTAATGCAAATGTCTTCTGTGCAAATTTCAGAGATCTTCTCAGTGTTTCTTGCCTTGAGTGGTAACTTCTGTGTATTTAAACAGAAATTGAAAAATAATGTAACAATATCTTTTAGATCATCCAATGGCTTAACCTCAGCGAAAAAAAAAGTTATTACAAACATCAGGCCCACTATGTGTCATATTAATTAAAGTTAATTAAAGCTTGCAGAGCTGTGAGTTTTGTTTTTGCTTAAAATGTTTCTGAAGTCACTGTGCTGCACATATGGTAACATAAACAAGGATTAACATGTCAAACAATAGTATAGAATGACATAATTCCACTCTTTTGCAGATAAAACCATTGTTTCTTACTGTAAATAAACTGCCCAGTGTTGAAGAGGAAGTTGGACATGAGTACCCAGTAGACTACCATAGCTCCAACAAGTGACACCATTGAGAACATCAAGCTGGACCACTGACCAACTTTTCCAAAATAGTACTGACAGACATCAGGGAATTCCCAGTCTGATGTGTCCACACAGGCTAGGAGAGCACAAAGAATAATTACAGAGGTAAATACTTGGTTCCCAAATATGACATTAATATATCACAAAAGCTTTTCCATAGTACACAGTGGTGACAAACGTGAACTTTATGAGCTAACATTCTTTTGCAAAGTCATTTAGTAAATGCAGCAGCATAAATTGTTTTTTTGATTCAGGAATAATGTTCGATAAGTTCAGTGTTAAGCTTCACCATTTTATTTAGGCTGAATTCATTTGTTCTGTACCTTCTGTCTTAACAATAACTTCTTGTAACTATGCCAAAAATATACCGGTGCAACCATGATCTAAAAGCAAGTGTTTAGATGTATTAACAACACTGCATATTCGCATGTAACAAGTAGTTAACTCATATTTATACAAATACACTTTTTTTTTTTTTTTTAATCTCTCATTTCATCTAGTTATCAATTTCACTCAGGAGGAAATATCCTAGATATATGTACAAAGCAAGCAAAGAGCTTTTCAAGTTAAATTGATGGAATTTCTTTGACTCGCTGATACAGTCAGCATATTCCATGTCCACCTGCTAAGAGCAGACTTCAGTAAAGGTTTGAAACATTATAAGTAGGTAAGATGAAAGCTGTTGCTGCTGTCTTCAGGTCACGGAGTGTAAAAGCTTTTAAACTACAGTAGTAAGGAATACTCCATAGATCAGGCTCTGACTGATATTAAACAGAGCAAATACAGCAGTGACATTCCTGTACAGTGATCACCCAAAAATGTAACACTTTGCAGAAGACAGACTTGTCTTCATAAACTGCAACTTCTGATAAATCCCAATAAATACATTAGTTTTCATCATGCATTTTGGGGAATAAATTGCTCTATAGATCAGGTTCTGAATGATACTGGAACAAAACATTCTGTAAAATCTTTATGATGCAGACACTGGAAAAAAGTGTTGGGCAGAGAATAAGAGGGGAAAAACATTTAATTTTAAGTATAAACAGGTACTCTATTTTTTAAATTTATGGGTATAATTGTCTTTCTGGCCTGCAAATTATAAAGAGCATAATTAATCAGTTATGCTAAAGTGAATGACAACATATTAAAGAAATGCTAACAACAAAAAACATAACTGCTCTCTCACAAAGAACCCTATACAATGTGTATGTTGAGAATTTGCCATTAGCCTTAATTTTGCATACTAATATGGAATGAAAAATATTTTTCTAGCATTTGAGATCTGAAACAAGCCATTGTGAACTAGGTACTATTGTAAACTTTTTGAAAGCTGTTAGTATTGGTCTATTAATCCCAAACCTAGTTTGTAAAAATTACTTACGTATTGACTTTGGTGATTTGAGGACAATATAACAACAATACAGCATCAGCAGGCCTATGAAGATGACAATGAAGACTCCAAGGGTGAAACCAGCCTGAAATAAAGTCAAAATTGTATATTTATTTTGAGCTTTTGGCCTCTACACTAACCTTTATTTGAACAAAGTTCTCAAACAAAGGTTTTTTTTGTTGTTTTTTTTGTTTTTAATGTGATTTTAGGTGTGGTTTTGAATGAGCTGAAAACATCAAGTATGTAAACTGAATCACATCACCTGCTTTATACCCCAAGGCATGCTGAGTATAGATGTGCCCATCATTGTGTTCCATATAGCAAATCTGGGACAAGAAAAATAAATAAATAAATCAAAGCAGTTAAATGCATCCAGTTAAGTACAAAGAAAGCATGTAGCTTTCACATGCTTTGTGCAGTGGATTTCACATTTTACTACTGCTAGGGCTTACATGGTGATGATACTGGGGTTTTTAGAGGTATGATCACTGCCTGGGACCTTGAAAGCTGTTCCCAGTGGACTATAGATGTAGATCTCATCTGGCTGGGGAATCACGTGATCTGGAGGACTCTAGGGAGGAAAAATGGAGAGGTGAAGGTAAAGATTTCAGAAAAGTGCATGTCATGACGTCTTAGAATTACAAAGATAACTTTAATAGCATTCCCCCTATTAAGGTAGGTTTGCTTCATTTTCAGATCTTCAGTTTGTAATTCAGTGTTACTACAAAACTTTGAAAAGAAGAAGATTAGGAGGTAGCTGATAACCCCTTAGAATCTGAAGTTATAACCATGTAGCAATAACTTTTTTTTTCTGTGAGAATTCATGAAATGAAAAGCAACTATGTGCTAACATATCCAGTGGATGGAAACATAATTGCAATAGAAAGGCAAATTAAAATTATTTTAAGTAAAAATAAAAACAGATGACAAGAGAAACAACAATACAGATGCTTTGACACAGGTGCACTGCATGGGACAACCAGGGCTTAAAGTGGATCTTGGCAGGTGGGAGAATCCCAAGATCTGATGTAGCAGTGCAGCAGGAAAAATGACTCACCTCAAAATGAACAAGTAGCTTTGTACTCTGAGCTCTGGTAGTTTTTACAGATCTGTTTTCTTTTTGGACAGGCTATGTGATCAATTGACCTGTACTGCCTCTATGGCTCTGAGGCAGCTTTTTGTGGATTTAGCCAACTGGATTTTCCAATACATTCTGACATGTTACATGCCCTATTGATCTATCATGGCTTCCTTCCAAAAATTTGGAACTTTAAAAGCATTAGTTAAGGTTATCAGCTTAAACTTAGGACTTCTTTCAAGTAATATAAATTATTACAGTCCATAATACCAATTTATATAGCCTGAGATCGATCACTGATCAAAGACCATTGATCAAAGACGACTGATCAATGGTCATGAGTACCATTTACAATACTGTGATTGCAGCCATTCTCCAACTCTGTGAATGGTACTCATGGCAATTGATCAGTGGTCTTTGATCAGTGGTCATGACAATTTGCATATTAACTATCAAGGAACTGACCTCACACCATATTGTTCATTAAATGGGCTGGTTTAAGTTATTGTGCAAATACACTGTTTATAAGGTTGGGGAAACCTGCAGTCAGCTTAGACCAAAGAAGTCACTTGGATGAGTGGCGAAACCTTTCTCCCACTGAATACGCTACGTCCAGATGAGCATAAATTAAACCCCAAAAGGTTGATTATCTAGTGCCTTCAAAAAACATTTTATTAACTGGTGACCTGTCCAGAGTATATATACCCTGTCTCTTATGGCAGCTGGGATAAGCTTCAGTGCCCTGTGGCCCTAATTTGTATAAGCAAAGATTGATAAATGGATGGATATTTCAGCTACAAAATACTGTTACTTGCTAGAAAAAAAATCAGACCGCTAAGTACAATGAAAACATATTTACTGAGCTCTTTTAGAAGCGTAACACAGTATATGGCATTACCTGTGTCTTCCAAAGAAAAACAACTTTGCTTACACTCAGTGCCCTTTTGTACAGCTAGATGCTAAAGGTAATCTATAATTTTATGCAGATAGGAGTAATCTCTTTCACGGTGACAGTGCTCAAAATTAGGGCTGTATGGAGGAACTAATAGCTAGTATTAAAATTACACAAGTTATTTCAAGTTAATTTCATAAATGTTTTGGGCAAATGTGTTAACACCATTTTGGATTAACACGTTTGCCATTGTTGGAAAACCACTAGCATTTATGTGAATTTTCTTTAACTTCCTGAAGTTTTTATTTCAATTTCTGTTAGACAGTGAATACAAGGATTCTTATATGTGTCTATGTGCCAGTCAGTTTTTTGTGACTACATACTCATCCATGAAAACTTTAAATTAGGAATCCCTACTACATCACGCGGTCACCAGCTCTCCATGCCTGTGTCTACAACAAAGAATAATCAAGGCTTTCTAAAGGCTTTCATGCCAAAATGCAGTTTTTTTGGATTAAAGCCATGCAATGAATAAATGCTTTTAAAATTGTATTTAATAATATTGAATTTGTCACCAATCTGTTGGTCAAAACATGTTATAAGCTTTATGTTGCTACTGTGTTTTGTTTTGGGGGTTTTTAAGTGGTTTGCACTTGGCAAATTTTTTGCCCAGAAGCTATGGTTGTGATGCATTCATGGTTGTGACAATAAACTCGACTTACCAATTGTCGATCAGAAGACCCCATGAGTCTGCTGTAGTAGTGTAATCTGCTGTTGAGTACAGCAGCCTCCGCAGATACTGTCTCTTGAGGGCCATCATTTATAATGTTCTTGCGTTCCACATGGAAAGGCCTGGAAGATGTCAATAAAAATCATGCATTTTTCAAGTCACGTAAAAACACATAACTTCTTTGATTTCACTGCATACAGTAAGGATTTGCACAATTTACATTTTTTATATTATTTAAAGTATAATATGTTACAATCAGATGAGGCCTTATAAACAGTTTCACACAAAAGTGAATACACACCCCACATTTTTGTAAATATTTTGTTATATCTTTTCATGGGACAACATTGAAGATATGGCACTTTGATACAATGTAAAGTAGTCAGTGCACAGCTTGAAACAGTGTAAACTTGCTGTCCTCTCTAAATAACTCAAGACACCTTCATTATTGAATAAACCTCTGGCAACAAAAGTGAGTACACTCCTAAGTGCACTCACACTCTCTCATACTGGTCACTGGAAGTCTAACAAGGCACATCATGGCAAAGAATTCTATGAGGATCTGAAAAAAAGAATTGTTACTCTACATAAAGATGGCCTAGGCTATAAGAATATTGCCAACACCCTGAAACTGAGCTGCAGCATACTGGTCAAGACCATACAGTAGTTTGACGGAACAGGTTCCATTCAGAACAACCTCGCTATTGTCGACCAAAGAAGTTGAGTGCACGTGGGATGTCATTGTTTGGGGCTGCATGAGTGCTGCTGGCACTGGGGGGCTACAGTAAATTGAGGTAACTATGAATGCCAACATGTCCTGTGACATACTGAAGCAGAGCATGATCCCCTCCCTTCAGAAACTGGGCCATAGGACAGTGTTCCAATATGATAACAACCCCAAACACACCTCCAAAAAGACCAGTGCCTTGCTATATAAACTCAGGGTAAAGGCACTTGGCTGGCCAAGCATCCACCAGCTCCATGATGTCATCATGGAGGAGTGCAAGAGGAATCTAGTGGGACCCTGTGAAGCTCTAGTGAACTCCATGCCCAGAGTTAAGGCAGTGTTGGAAAATAATGGTTGCCACACAAAATATTGACACTTTGGAGACAGTTTGGACATTTTCACTTAGGGGTGTACTCCCTTTTGTTGCCAGCAGTTTAGACATTAATGGCTGTATGTTGAGTTATTTTTAGGTGTCAGCATTTTTACACTGTTATACAAGCTGTACACTGACTAATTTACATTGTATCAAAGTGTCTTATTGCCAATGTTGTCCCATGAAAAGACATAATAAAATTTCAACAAAAATGTGAGGGGTGTACTCACTTTTGTGACACACTGTAGCTTGACTAAGAAAATTCATGCATTAAAGCATGAATATTTGAGATTTGAGAGGTTCTAATCATTGTGTGAACTGGATTAAAACTCACTAACACAGGAAATGGTGCTAGGAAAATGAAGTACTCACACATCTCACAACTAACATCTTAGTATTTGCTTGCTAAGTGAATTCCAAGAAGTCAAGGTAATAAAGCACCTTGTTTATTATCTAGCAATGAAATGAACAACATGAACCTATGGCATGTGACAGGCAGGAGAGAAACTGATTCATACTTTGTACTGATTAGCACAGCATTTACCTTTTAGTTCTCAAGTCTAGCGAATTTGTGGAGTCTCTTTGCAAGTAGTCCTCTCCAGTCTGCTCTGAACTCAGCAAAGGCCTGGAGTCATCCTCCATGATTCTACTGACTTGCAGCTCTAGCTTCTCAACAGGTGTCACCTAACTGGAAGCATACATGTTTCAAAATCTAAACACATACAACCACAGCAAACATAAGATATTGTTTAGTACAATTGTTTGTTTAATTGTGTGCAGATCAACATTTTTCAAGGTAATTTTTGAATGTGTGGGTTTATATTCCAGATGTGCTTACTTCACCATTTTGTAAAAATTAACCCGTATTAAAGTAATCCAGTGCAAAAAATAACTATTGATAGTTCATTTGGCAAACGTCATTTTCACAACTGTCAAAAAAAAACGGTTTTAAGCAAGGCTCATGTTGCTGCAAGGATGTAACTTGGCTTAACACAGTAGCTAGTCCCATTAGGATCCCTCTTCCTTTGGGCTGTCAAAAGTCTGTTAATTTTAAAGCTTTGAAAGCCGAGTACCCGCAAGAGCGTGAATCTGCTGCAGCACAGCATTGCCAATGCTATGAACTGCAAACGCCTGTAGAGTGAAGATTGCTGTAAAGGTCATTAGGAATCCACTGCCCTCTCTGCAGAGGATCAACTATCAAAAAACCCACACAACCCTCGACAAAGTCTGTTCACACTTCTACCCTGAGGCTGCAGGTATAGAAGTGTGAAATCTAGGACCTGTAAACAAAAGAACTCAATGCCATTAGACTCCAAAACACATGACAGGAGTTTATAACCTCAGATTACCTCAATCTACATTCCTGCACACTCAATCGCATTCTCACAGCTGTCTTGAACACCAACTGCTGTCTGCTGCACATACAACTGATGTAGTATAAATATGTACATAGCTTTTAAAGCTCTTTTTTTTTTTAAATCTGCTGTGTGTTGTGTATCTCAGTACTGTGCATTTGACAAAATTTTTAAACCTGAAACTCATCTCCTTCCTTATTTCTCTTTTGAATAAAGAGACAAATGAGGAAGAAGCTTCAAAGCCATTCAAGGCTTCAACATACAACAGCTATATAAAACTTCTGAGCCACTCCACAATTCTTCATATTTTGCTTCCAATGATCCAGATGTTCTTTGAGCAATAACTCTCCAGGCTTTCTGAAAGTCTTTCAAAGTTTCTCTTCTGGTGTTGGCTGCATTTTCACTCACTTTTAATTCAATACTAGTACCTGGCCTTTCTCAGAGGAATGTCTTTTTGTTGTTTGTTAAGCCACTTAACATTGTCCTATGAATCATCCCATTAAAAAAGCACCTAACTCAAGGGACGAGCCAGTGGAAGGATCATTATCAAGAAGCCATTCAGTAAAGCCTACGGGAAGGCCAACATACACAAAACCCACATGAAAAATAAGTGACAACAGGTCTTGTGGGTTAATGAATCCGAATTTCAGGTTCAATTAATTTTTACTTTACACAAAATGAGTGAGTGAGCTCATAAACTCAGCAGAAAGTAGTATTCATATAAACTTCTAGAGGACATAAAGTCTCCTTGGAACCACATATATTGCCATCTGATGGTATTCCCAGAGCACAGACCTCACAGAAGCAGTGCAGGATGTCTTAAAAGAATGGAATAAAAGGCAGCTGACATCCAAAGACGAGCTTTGGAATGTGTTTTCATACCAAATATCAATTTTCAAGCTTTTTAGAATTGTATAATTTCTGTTTTACATTAAATCACCACACTTATTTCACATTTTCTTAGGAAGAGCTTTTTGTTCTGCCTTTAGCGACTTAACCTCATAGACATAGTTCCGCCATGCACGTGACAACACAAATATTTCTCTGGACAAAGTAACAAGTCGATACTGAGATATAATAATCCATAGTGAATTCCTACCGAAACCATATTTCTACACAGATACGTACTTTTTACGTAAATTTTAAAGATTCTTATACTCAAAGTCACGTACAGTAAAGCTCAGACACTTTAAACACCTTAACGAGAGAACCTGCTGAGTGTACAACAAAGGCTGGTAGTTGAATGGCAACGTTTCGTATCTAAAAATCTCTTTTTTTAAAAAAAGATGTGATGCTAGGCTTGCAGGCTTCTTTGTAGAACTCACAGTCTGCAGTGAAGTGTCCTCTCCTCGGGTCTTCAGCTCATCTCAGTTCTGCTGTCTCTGCTATTGTTTCACCTCGAAAGTTGAAGTGAAATCAAATATCAACACAGTTGTTATTCATTTTTAAGTCTAATACCACCGGTGACATCAGCTAAATATTATTCCGAAAAGAAATAATAATTAATTAATAATTATACACGACTAATGAGCCGAGCAACGGCGTAGAGGAAGAAGAACTTAATTTACAAATACTCAGCAGTCTTCCAACTGGGTTTAGTGACGATGTGTTGGTTTTCTTCCTGTTCCTCTTCTTCTTCGTGTGTATTTAGGCCGGACGAACGCTATGCCGCCCTCCACCTTCCTCCTCTTCTTCCTCTTCTTCTACCGTTAGGGGTCGCCACATATTTTCTACCGTGGTGCACCACGTTTCTGGACTTCTGATGCGACATAAACCATTTAATGTTTGCTTATAAATTTTCCAAACAGTTTGCCAAGCCTGGTTATGCCCAGCATTCAGGTACCATCAGTTGGGTGAAGGTGTAATGAGTAATTAAATCTGATTCTCAGTTTAATAAATAATATCAAGCAATTCAAACTTTCATGTGCTTCAGTCTGTATTGCTTCCAGTTATTGTCTATGAGAACTGGGCCATTTAAGGTTTGAGCATGACAACTCTTTAGAAGTTAATGGCCAGTGACTGCAAATAATTGCTGTCGCAACAGAACTTGAAATTTAGCACTTGATTTTGGTCAGATTGGTCTGAGGCCAGGAAAATGTCTCATTTTGACACTGCCCCAGGAAACTACATGGTAAATGGAAAAGGACTTTTACAGATTTACTAGAAAGAGCAATGGAGATGGAAAGGCTGTGCATCAGGTTAGAATGATTAAGAATAAGAAGATAGAGAAGGCGGGATAGTGGAAAGCTGTCAAGGCTCTCTGTGTGGCAGGGGGAGTAGGACCCACATGCAAGACTCTAAAACAGAGAAGGTAAACTAAGAGGTGGCTTTATTGGTATATGTGTGTGTGTGCGTGTGTGTGTGTGCGTGTGTGTGTGTGCGTGCGTGCTTGTGTGTGCCTTTACTTTTCTAATGCATATTACAGACTGTAACACCTGCATATGTGTAAAATGACAAATGGCCACCCCATTTGATTTCCATGCCACCCTCAGAAAACCTATGTAGATCCGCTCCTGGTTAACTTTGAGGTTGGCAACGCTAAGCTTCATAGTGATGAGTGCATGCATCAAGCATAAAGAGCAAAACCCTGTATAGGTGGGTGTGTAACTGTAAGAAAAATCACGTGACCTATTCAGCTGATGTGTCGTACAGCAGTGAGAATTGTGTTTATTGGGAAGTGCAAGTTTCAACATAGTTGTATTCATGCTGAGAGGAGCTCGCCATCACCCGCTGTACAATGAAAAGATAAATTGGGGACATTTTCTCCAGTCTGGGGTAATTTAACCCTGCATTTTCCCCTCACATACACAAGTATGCCCAATGTCACAAGCACTTATTTCCTAGAAACAAAACTTGCACTTTGATTTTCTCTTACTTTTTTAGTTATACTTCTTTGCAAACATGTTTTTTGTAAATTCTGCATTTTACATCATTTGACATACTGTATTTGTATTGGGTATGAAAAAATCGGAATAAATGAGCCATTAATCAACATGTCAACACAGTCTCAACACAATAAAGGCAATGCGCCACACACTCCATGAGCATCCTGTACCCATCACTGTTTTCTGTTCCAGAACAGCTGATCAGAGTAAGTTCAATCAATTCAATGTGGAATCTGCTTCCTGGTTACAGCCCCAGAGAGGAACAGATAAACCAAAAATGACAAATGTTAAAGGAAGAAAACTGAGACAGAAGACACGATCATGAGGCAGGACAAAAAAAAGGACAAGGGGCAGAGTTGACAATATAAACACGGAGGATAACAAGGCAACAGACAACAGGTGGGAGGACATATAAAACAAATCACCAATAATTAGACCTAGGAAGTAGAACTGAATGTTAAAAAAAGTGCCAAGGATTAAGGTTGAAATAAGAGCAGCTGGAAAGGTGGTTAGCCCAGATGACATACCACAGGTATAGCATCTCATTTTTGGAGGTACGGAGCTGTCCAGTAGGGGGGCAGCAGACAGTAGAATCTAGAGCAGGCTTGGCCAACTCCAGGCCTCAAGGGCCGGTGTCCTGCAGGTTTTAGATCTCACCCTGGGTCGACACACCTGAATCAGTTTAAATAGCGTGGGTCAACCATCCAAAGCAACAGACAAAAGAAGTCATGAAGAGTATATTGTAGTGGAGTGGACAGAGACAAATGCTGAAGTCTAATTTGTGACAGAAGGTTAAGAGTTAGCAGCAAAAATGAAAGGGAATGTTTACAAGATGATAGTGAGACCTGATATGATGTATAGTTTGAAGACAGGGGCACTAACGACAAGAAAGGAGCCCAAGCTGGAGGTGGCAGAGCTGAAAATGCTATGATTTTCACTGGGAGTGACCAGTACCTTTACCATATAGAATAGAGACTGAACATTTAACAGTATTTTGTCTGACTACTCATTTTATTTTAGAATAAATCCTTAAGCAACAATGAACACTGGACTGAACCAGGTCTGTAACTATGCTTTAGGAAGGGATTCCTTCATCCAATGCAGAGCAGCTAGCTAAACTTTAATCCCACATAGGTCCATTATCTTGTTAACAGTGTTACATCCTCACTGCATATGACTTTGGACACTATGGCTTCTCGGAAAAAGAAGGAAACAAATGAAAGATGCTTGTCACACATGTACAACTCACAAATGCACACGTTAAAAGCAGATAACAGCAAGCCGGAGAAGAAATGTTGTTGCAGTAATTTGGAAGATCTTCATTTGAGCTGGAAAAATACTCAGGTGAGAAAATATGTTACTATATAATTATGTTTTGAGTTTTCCAGTTAGGATGGGTGAGGCTTTAGTTGCATAATAACCTGGAGTGGAAGATTGCTGTCACACCCCCTTCTCAGTCTGTGATTCTGACAATTACTATAAATCAGGGGTGTTGATTTATTTAAACTAACATAATCCTCGTGCTTCAACCTGGTTTCTGTAAGGCAAAGTAAATCAATTTGTTGAGAAATTATTAATTTATGTATTAATGGGGACTTAGAAGAGACCTAATGATTAATAATCCACATTTCACTGTTTTACTCTTTAGTGCAATTGCAAATACTATATTATTTTTTTCTTTGTTTTTTATGTTTAAATCATATTTTTTGCTGATTTTAGTGTTGTTGTTGTTTTTTGTTGTCTGGAAGACACCGTATCTAAGGGGATGGGGTTTTGAGTAGAAAACAGGAGGAGAGAAGCTACTTGGCTACCTCCTCCTACAAATTGCTTGCCTCTGCTCACAAGTAAGCAATCTCCTCTTCCAACCTTTCATACTACAAATATAACTGCCATATCATCAAAATTAATGCTGCTCTCTCTATTGGTAAGCTGGTTTCTGAAAGCTAAATGGCTCAAAGTTTTTGCATCAACTAGAGTTGTTTCGAGTCTGCATCTGAGCCCAGAGTTGTATTTTGGTCTTTTCAGCCTTCTGACACAGACTTAAAAACACCATGATACTTTATAGATTCTTATCTGTCAATGTGGCACTGAGTCTTGGTTTTAAGCTGAAATTACTCCCATTTCCAGTCATATTCTTAAACACTGAAACATTTAAACCTTGTTTGACAGTGATAAATAAACCTCTGTGTGCAAAATATTTGATGCAAACATTTTTCTCATGAAAACAAACTCTTCTCAAAAAGCACAAAGATTGCATTTTTGGTCTCCTACTGGGATCTATACTATTTTTTGCAGATTTGCAAGATTTCATGTGACACTGAAGCAACTGATGTGAAGCAATATTATCAAGAGTGTGTGTGCTCCAAGGAAAACACACTATTGATTGTGTTTTCTAAGGAGAATCTGCAAGCTGATGTTTCTACTGCATGTTCACGTTGGATTGTTGCAACAGTGTGTAATGTGAAATGCACAGCATTACAGTATGTAGCAGTATGAAATATCGCATGGCCTTTAATAAGTTGGGAAGATATGATCAAATATAAATTTACTGTAAACTTTTTATAACAGTGTGGTATAGTGCTGGATTGATTCTTAAAATAGAAACTGAAACCATTAATAATCCTGTAAAATCTTTTATTGGAAAAAAACAACAACAACAATAATCAGTACAACCTTTTAATTTTCCAAATTCCTTGCCAGCAACAATCAACACAAAGGTTTCCAAACTCAAACAACTTTGACCTGTCAAAGACTATATTGATGTTTGCTGTCCAAAAACTGCTACATGATAAATTATTCAATAAATAAACACTGGAAGAAATAAGACTACAAAATTATGTTAGATTGTCTGTCTGTAGATCTTTTAGACTTTGTCACAAGGGCAGCGTAACTGTAAATAGACATGACTGTTTTTTTGTTTAAAAAACAGAAACAAAACAAAAAGAAAGAGGAAAAAAAACATAGACCATCTAACAATGGAGTGCCTCTAAGTTCAAGATACTCTTGGATAACAACCCCTTCATCAGACTGACTCTGGTTCTGGTTTATCCAAGGGCTCGAGGGTGATTTTATTATTTACAGTTAAACTGCACCATTTATGATAACCTAAGATATGTGTTCCTGATGCAGGTGATGCACATACATCACATTTCAGAAATACTATGCATTAAAAAGTTGAAATTTTCCTACACTCCAGGTATTCTGGTGATTAAGTTTGGAGGAAAAACAATAGGGAAGAACATGGGCAACATTGAAACTTTCTCTGTCCAAGTTAAAATGCCACACCCTAATTATCTCTAATTCACTCTATGGGTTTGGAGGAGTGGAAATAACACTGTGTGCTCATGTTTGCAGAGAACATTGAATAGCTGTCACATTTCTGTATGTAAACATGAGATTGGATTGTGTTTTGTAGGGCTGTTGCATTTTAAAAGTAGAAAGTTGGATTTTTCCAAATTTCTGACATCTTTGGGAAGCAGCACTATTTGAGAACAGCAATAGGACATCAATTTTCTTTTATCTACTTTTTATACTTCACCTTTGCATGCATTCAGCTGGGGGTCCATAGAAGCACCTTTATATAATATAACGTAGCACCATATTTCTTATAATTTTCTTATTATACTGGGACCCAACCATGGACATGCATACACTCTAAAAACATGATTACCATTTCTAAATGTAGCATCATTTCAAACATTACAAGGCAAGTAATGATTATTAATACAGTACTTTACATGTAGATGATTTTTTACAGTACACATCAAAGAAAGTGCTAAAGTACAAAACTTCCTTGTTTTTTAAGTGTTAGGTAACATGAATATAAGACACACCAATGTATTACATTACATGAATATAAATTTACACACTTGCACATTTTCGGTATCCACTCAACTTTTAAAAGATTAGCAAACATTTATATCCCTACATTTCCCACTTCAAAACTCTGATGATGAAAACTACAAACAACAGCAGCAGGTCTTCTTCAGTACGTGTACATTCACATCACTCTGCCTGCACAAGCACAACCATATAAACACATACAGTTCGAGTTCTAAAAAAATACTATGGTAAATTATGATGGATATGAATATATTATCCAAATTTATAGCAATGATCTCAGTAATTTTTTAGATGACTATACTGAATGCCTTCTGCTAAAACAAAGTACAGGAATAAAAATCAGAAGATACAGTGAATCTGTGAAGATGCTTTAAGGCGCCAGGGTTGGAAACATTAGCTCCAGTTAACAGTCCAGATTTATTTTTAATCAAGCTATTAATTAAAGTCCAACAACCTGTAGCCCTCAGCCTATAGCCTTATCTTTTCTTTTACTGTCCATGGATGTTGAGATAGTCTCATCTGCTATAAAGAAACAGACCAGTAGTCGGCATGTGGGTTAAAAAAATATACATAAAAAAAATAATAAAGCAGTGCTTCCCACCATAATCAGCTGGATTTTTTTATACAATAAATGAGATGACTTAAGGCATGCAAAATTTTACCCTCATACTATGAAAACTGTCAAAGTTACAGGCTCTCAAAGTGCATAAGTTTGTTCAGAATTTTTTTTTTTTTTTTTAGCCCCCATAACTTTATAAATACAAAAGATAGCAACAGGATTTTTGGTATAAAATGGTATAAAAATGTAAGTAAAAGAGACTTTTCAGATACTATATCATTTTTGACCACCACCTATCCCAAATGGTTATATGACCCTTGAAAAAGTCCATTTTTGGAAAATATGAACGTTTAGTAGACATTAAACTGAAGGGGTTTTTTTCTCTTGAAACTACAATGTACCCCATGACACTGATGAAATTGCTTACATTTAATTTTAAAAACAAAATCACGCTGAACATGTTCATTTGTTTGTAAATTGTGACACTTGCAGTGAATGAAACACTGATTAAAGTTTTTACCAGGACCTAAATGAAAATTTCATGTTGCAACCTCCTGTAATTATGAAGTTATGAGGGCTCAAACATTATGGAGAAAAAAAAAGTACGGCTAATTGGTAAAAGTTTGGACTCACCCAATGTACTTACAGCTATAACCAGGGGTGCACATAAGTGGTCCGCAGGTACGTATTCGCTGTCAAAATAAAAGACGCGCACCAGATAAGATGTTGCAACGCGCATTTGCGTACATCAGATTTTCTGTGGGAGGACAGAGATTTGTTTAGAACTCTTAAAGATGTCGAAGAAGCAAGCTCCTTTAAGCAATTACTTTGGTGTTCCCCCACCTCCAAAGAAATGTCAAAAGGAGTCCGAACCGCAAAAGAAGTGGTTGCAGGAGGTGAGCTGCCTTCAAAAAAATGATGATGAACGCACAGAGATGTGGTGCGGAATATGCCGTAAAAATCCTGCTCTAGCGGTCAAAAACAGTGACTTTTATATGTACGCAAACGCACGTTGCAACTTCTTATCTGGTGCGCGTCTTTTATTTTGACAGCGAATGCGCACCCCTGACTATAACTTAAACAGTTATTTGTTTTGTTTTTTGACTGATTTTCTATGTAAAGCCCCTGAATGATACTAAAGAGAACATATAATAAATGCTAAACAGATTTCTACTTATGTAGTGTTTTTTTACTCTGAGTACTCAAAGTGGTCAAATATGGCTGCATAAGATGCTTCTTGTGCTTTCATACTTCTGTGATTGTGATTCTGACATATATGATGTTCAGAGCAAGCTTGACAACACATAATTTAAACAAGAAAATTCCACCCTTTACCTGGGAAGCAAACAAATCAAATTCATGCAAATTTAAGGTAGTGAATTTCATGTATTACCATGGTCTTTGTCAGCAAACTGGCAAATTGATCTCAGGAAGTTTTTTAAAGTTTGTGCAGGCCTTCTGTGCTTTCTTTTTTTGTATGTCTCAAAGGTTGGATGCACTGTTACAAATTAAAAAGCTATGTTTAGTTAAACTTAATAACCATTTTGTTTTCCAATTTCGTATTATTAGTATTTATAATACATTTATTTTATTTATTATTATTATTATTATTATGTTTTCTGAACAGAACTTTGCTCTCTGGAACTAACTGTAGGAAAAATGGAAAAGAAAATGGAAAACTATACAGCAGAACTAAAAACCTCTCTCTTTGTAGATCCATCTAATCTTTAACACCAATTCATACCTTTGCTATTTTAGCAGATGTGGGTTAAAATAGGCTAAAGTGAACAAACACACAATGACATTTGACTACTCAAAGAATTAAGCATTGTCTGACTAATGACAGCTAAAATATTTTGTTATGTGTCAATTATTATTCAAAAATGCCATATTTGACATTTTTTCACCAGTAGTTTCATGTTCAAGTACTTCTTCACATTGTTCATGTCAACATAACAGAATATTCCTGACATGAACATTTGATTTCACATTATTCTGTGAGATTCTAGAGTCTTGGTACATATGATAATGAAAATTTAATATAGCATTTGCATGAATATACACATATAGATGTTAAACTATTGAGAGCCTCAATAAGAAGCTGTCAAAAACCAACACAGACAATGAAAGGAGTTTTGAAGCACACATCAGCAGATTCTACAAGCAGAGAACTATGATTGTCACTTTACACCAAAGGCATATCTAGAGATAGTTCCTCTATGTCAACTAATTACAAAGCAGCAGAACAAAAGTGCAGCTTTTATTTAAAGTGCTGTTGATTTTGGAATTTTCAAAACGAATATCCATCATAATTTTAAACAATGTCATATTCCACCTCAAACATAATACTTTGTTTTTATGTCCATATCTTGGCCTCAGCCAGTTATTGACATAACCAATATCTAGGGTAGATGAGACAATTTTCCTAATTCTGTGACAATCAATGTTGAATCACATTTCACTAATGAGTTAATTAAATTATTACATTTCATTTAATTTTTTAAAATAAACTGTGCTTTGTACCATATATACTTTGCCATTTATATGAAAATAAAACAACTCTTCACTAGATCATACAACAGACACACCAAACCAATCCTGTGCTTTTCAAGCACAAAAGCATTCCAAGAATTGCCTACTAAAACTAGAAAAAAACAAAAAAAACAATTGAAACTCTTTTTAAAATTATTTTTCCTTTTTTCCCCTTCTTCATTTCACTAAATCTCAAATCTGTGAAACTGAGACAAAGACCCCAAAACAGACATGAGGTATCAAATATTAACTTCTGACTTGTTTCTGTTCAGATATAAACTTGACAATTAGCTCTGACACCTCTTCATATAAGCATCAACATCTCGTGGGAAATATGACTTCCTGCATGAGAATTTAAAAAGCTGCCCACCTAATTCAAAATAAAGTTCAAACAGTCAACGTACTTTAGCTTATTAGGACCTGTACTTTAAAAAATATTATCTAATCTCAAAGGGTGTACCTCAGCTCCAGAGGTACTTTCCTTGTAAATTTCCATATTAGAAAGGAATATCGTGTTGTAGCAGACGAATCCCTTTCTGCTTATATTACTATTTCTTTCTTTTTTATAACAGAAATGATGTTGTCACTCACAGTAAAGTACTGCACTGTGTTTCAGTGGTAGTGGGAAGTATAAAGAAGCTACTGGAATTAAGTTAATCATGTTAAGATTAAGCATTAACATGAATCTATTTAATTGATTGGGTTTATGCTTTAAAATCTACTGAAGATAAAACTAGCTTTACCATTTGCACATTTAGAGTTCAGGTACTTCAGTTTTTAGGTTTTTGTCCTTTTTAAGGACATTAAGGTTGATCTAGGTTTTTGCCTTATCCTGGTATGATGCTCAAGTCAAAGTCTGGCTTGGGTTCTTTGTCAATGTGACCAGCTCTACTTTCATGCTGGTCACAGAATGCAAACATAGGCAAATATACAGCAAAATGCCATCCAAGCTCATGAATAGCAGCACTTGGATGGATTTTAAGGACTTAAAGTAAAAAATGAACTTACACTTACATTTACACTTTCAAAAAATGTAATCGCTTGTTCATCAATAGACAGCAAGGAAAGGTAAAATACAAGGTTCTGCAGGCACAAGCATATTGATTTAAGATTTTCTATAGACCCATTTGAGCTTGATGTTGAGCCCTTTCGATCCCAACACCCCCAATTCACCAGTAAGCACTGGGCTATTTGCTGACATCAAGGTAACAAGCCCAGTTTATACCTTGACTTTGATCTATTTACGTCATATATATAAAAAAAAAAAAAAAAAAACGGACCTGAGCTGTAATAGTGAAAACTGGGTATCAACATCCTCAAAAGACAATGTGTGAAACCATTTTCATAGCACCACACAATATTACAGAATAGGCAGGAAGGTACTTAAAGTATAAACTTTGATGTTTAATTATTCCTCATGCCAAAAATAAATTATGAAAAGAAGCATTCTCTTTGGCAAAATGTTTAGAACTTGTAGAACTTGGCTGTAATGAGTGAAAGCCAAAAGATTAAAAACAAAAAACAAAACAAAAAACGGAGGCTTGTTTGTCTAGGTCAAAGTGCATAGACCTCTTCTATTATTTTAGAACTTTTCTACCATCAGTGTACCATCCGCTATATGTTTCAAATTCATGTGAATAATAGGAAGAGCAGCCACACTCCAAGCAGTCATGCAACATGGTGCATCTTTTTTCAGGTCTACGTTTAGGCTCTGTCAAATGTAGTAAAGACACTGAACGACAGAGGGTGCAGCCACTAAAGATAGCATATTACAATGTTGTGTGTTCAGCAGAACACATGTAAAATACCTTTCCTTCTGTCAATATGTTATGTAAATTTAAGTATTAGGATATTAGTATCACATAAAATAAATAATGTAACTCCAGTAACACAGTTACTCTCTAGAAATGTGACATTAGATCTGTGTGTCTTTCCAGATAGCAGTCAGTTTTTTATTCTTCTGTTGAGCTGTATTTTAGGGTTCCTGAATGGACCGCTACATATATAGTTGTTTTCTAGTTTTATTAACCATTTTTAAGGTAATTATATCAAGTCATCAAGTGATCTAGTCTTTCAGCAAATTCTACAAGCCCGTTCTTTTTCAAGTGTTGCAACACAGATTTCACGCAGAAGTCTAAATAAGGTTTAAGTGCTTGTGTTGGATAGAATTACTGGACTTGGATTGCAGTACCTATAAAGTTTTTTTAATTCATTTTACCTCCCCCATTTTTGTGAATGCAACACACAGTACAACTGCAGGGTAGAGTCTTATCAAAAACCAGAACATCATGTAGTGCTTTGTGTCCTTGTAATTTAAAGCAGGCTTCTACAGCACATGTCTCCCCCCCATCATTATGCTGCCGAGGTAAGCAGCACATTTTATACATTTCAGGATGCTCTAGTCTGGTCATTTGCACAGATTGATTGGCCTAAAGTACTGCACTGCAGGAAAAGCTGTCACTAAATTCATTTTTGCCAGCATTATCATGGACATTTAAAGCAATGTTTTGTGTCTCATATGAGGCAACATAAACTGGAACTGTTAACATGAATGAAAACCTTCCGGCTGGACCAGTGAAAAGGCAGCACACACCAACAGTATGTGATTAATGTCACAATATGTGTCTTATTTTTCTCCCCTCCCACCAAGTCTTAACTGGCAGCATTAATCTGTACAACACTCGTTTCCCATTTCCAATTCTGATTCCTGTAATTTAATTTCTTCTCCACTTGTCCAGTTGGGTTGCAAGTGTTCTATAATGCTGCTTGTGTGTATTGCACTTATAGTAAGTTCCAATATATGAGGTATTTTCTTCATTAATAAAAGGGTCCGATTTTTTTTCTTTCTATATCATTTCTTAAATTGTACCTATCACAAAACACACTATACTTAACAAATTAACTCTGTTTATTTAAACTGACAAAATTTCTGCACATTAGTGTGCCATAAAATTGTTAACCATATTGCTTTGGGGGTAAAATATTAACAGATATTATTAGCGTCAACTTTCTATGTAACTTAGAATTAAAGTTTAAGCAAATGAACACTGCACTCTTGAATTTAACAGGGAGGTATGAGTATGGTATGGGGGAGCGCAGGGATGCAGCTGGCTCAGGACCCTGGGATGGCCCTGACTAACTGGCTACAACACAATAATCGGCAATGAGAAAATGATGACTGACTTCTTGGCATGTTAAAAATTTTGAGTTTATCAGCCCTTGGCAAATAAACTGAAAAGTTAATGAAGTACATCGTATCTGAGTAGTATGGTAGGGACACATACAGTACATCATATTATTGTCACATCTGGACAAAACTGAAACCCTAAATTAGGCTACATGCTAAAAGCACCATGAAGGTCAGTCCTCCTGTTCCTCACTGTCTTGCTGGCCATCTGTCCTTTTATCTTTGTGACAAGAAAAGATTCGTCGCATCTCCTCCTCGTACCTGATGAAATTCTCTCCGAATCTAGCCCAGGCTTTTAGGGGAACTGTGATGGTGTTTCTATACGGCTGTCGCACTTCGCTGATTTTTAAAAAGATACCATACCGGTTTGAACCCACATCAAAGTAAAACCTTTTGTTGTCCACTCGAAAAGACGCAGCCTCTGGAAGCTCGGGGTTGTCGTTGCGATTCCTGGAGCCTGCTCGGCTGCGGTCTTCGCTCTCTTCGTCCCCGTAGTCTTCAATCAGCTGTGACAGAGCGTCTCTGAACTCAATCAGTCCCTGTGCGGGTAACACTATGGTCTGCTCGATGCCCTGGCCGTAGTAGCCCATTGTGCCGTGTCCTTTGCTGACAGTCTGCCGTATGCGGAGGAATCTGCCTCTCTGGTTCTCCTTCAGGTCCAGAAAGTACTTTCTGTTGTCTCGCTCAATAAATTCGCTCTTGAGAACACGATGTGCATGGTCATCGGACACAACAGAACCGGTGGGGGACAGGTTCGCGTGATGCTCCTGCGCTCTCTTACGGGAGTCGTTCCCGCGGCCCTGGCCATTGTTACTGTGGTCCTCGACCTGCGGAGGCGCCAGCCCCCCCCGCAGTCCAATGCGGGCGTAATAATCTATAAAGTCTCCCAGACAGTAGCGTAGAGCGGGAGCCATCGACATAGACAGTGTCAGCTTGCTCTTTCTGATGTTATCATGACGGCCCCTTCCTATCCACACCTCGGCTATTTTAAGGAAACGGCCGCGTACACTCTGCTTGACATCCAGATAAAAGCGTTTCTTCTGGATGTCGACGCGTTTGGAAGCTAATTCTTGGATGTCATTTCCTTGCTGCTGTGACCAGGTCTGAACATATTGCTGAGGAAATGCATGTCTTGGTAAAGAGTCTGATGCAATCTTACCCCTGCCTCTTTCCATTCCTTTGCAACATCCATCAGCCATCATGATTTATATTCCACCACTAGACAGCACAGGACAACGCGTTTTGTCCATTACAAAGGGAAATTAACAGGCGAATAAAGCAGGCTTACTCATACAAATATCTGGAGCAACAAACAATTTAGCGAGATGCCTCGAATGACCTGAAAATGGCAGCTAGTTTGGAATCATCAGCTGGTCGACTTTCTGTGTCCCGATAAAAGGTCAAGTTCTCCTATTTAGCTATTTCCAGTGCAGACCTACATTCCATTTTCTGTCAAGTATTTGCCTTATACCTCCCCTTTTACTAAGGGAGCTAGGGAAACAACCAACCTGAAATGGGAGGAGGCGTCCAATACTACATGAACCCGATGAACCTATCCACCCCCCTCCCCGTCCTGAGAATACCTCAGTTAAAGAGACACGACTTTTATTCTAACCGAAGGGTGCAATTCTGATACACTCACATTTTTTAGACAGACTTTAGGAGAATTTGGGTAAAACTTGTAAGATGATTATTATGACACAAAAACCCCTAATATCTCAAATTATGGCATTCGTAAATCAGAACAGAGGATTGAAATAAAATACCAAAAATTAAATCATCGTCTTTGTGAAACAGTCAAACTGCTGCCTGTAGACTACTATTGCTTTACATATTTTGAAATTGATTAATCATCTTGACGTCACAGTACAGCTGCATCACTAAGACTAACAATGATCAATGATCAACAATGGACAATGAGGTCAGTTCCATGATCATTAATATACAAATTGGCATTACCATTGATCATAACAATGATAGCTTTGGTCCTCAGATTTCGTGGAGGATGAGAGATGTCATCATGATGGCAGATGAAACAACAGTCTTTTATCATCTTAAAACACAGCGACCAGGGAGCAGAAGAACATCATATCAAGAATGCCCTGAGTAAAAGTTGTTATCCCAGCTGGCCATTTGTCACAGCTGGGAAGGTACCTAAAGAATTCTCCAGGCTATCCAGGACAGCTCTAATCTCTCTGTCCTCTCTCCATCCTCCTCGCTTCTTCTTTGTTCTGACAATCACATACAAATGCATTTTATTCAACTAGAAAATAAACATGAAAATATAATTTTATAATAATTATTATAAGAGCAGGTAGGGGATCCCCATTTGATAACAATATAACACAACTTAGTTATGTGAAATCATCATTAATGAATGTGCACAAAACAGGAGTTACATCAGCTTTATAATTTTTTGTTAACTTTGACTACATGTCCACTCTTACCTGTTTTTTTTCCCCTTTGTATTATCTCTGCTTCTTTGCTGTCTTCACCCTGCTCTCTCTCCTCTCTTGGTGTTTGTGCTGTCACCATAAGTTAAATTTAACAGTGAAACATAATTTACAACCTGATAAAAGATATGAACCAATCCATATCAATTTATAGCAATATTCAAATTAATTCTGGGCTCCTGCTGGCCATTGACAGGTAATATCCTTTTGACTTACTGTCACCTGAAACTGGAGCTTCACTGTAAACCAACAAACCAACCAGTGATATGTCAGCAGTCAGGTTGCTCAGAAGATTAAAATGAGCTAATAATCTCTAGTGATACATTTGCTAAAATTTTGATGCACTTAAGAGAGCAAATGCACATAAGCAGACACATTATAAGTCATGTAAAGAGCTTAGGAAAAGCGATTGTTCTTCCTTAATTTTCTTGAAGACATTTCACCTCTCATCCCTGCAGCACATCTGGGACACCACCTAGCCACTGGTACAGATATGTGGATGACACTTGCATCAAAATCAAAACCCAAGAAGTAGAAGCATTCAGTGTTCACATCAGGGGCAATTCTAGGATCAGAGCTTTGGGGGTGCTGAGCACCCAGAGAGCTGCCCATCCAGGCAAGGTAAACTCTCAATGACTATCGCCCTGTAGCCCTCACCTCAGTAGTGATGAAGTGCTTTGAACGCCTGGTCAGAGACTTCATCATTTCTTCACTACCAGACACACTGGACCCACTACAGTTCGCTTACCGTCCAAATCGTTCCACAGACGATGCCATCTCTCATCTCCTCCACACATCACTCACTCACTTGGACACTAGAAGGGGGAATTATGTTAAAATGCTCTTCATAGACTACAGCTCTGCATTTAACACCATAATTCCCTCCACACTCACCACCAAGCTGGAGCATCTGGGACTCAGCTCATCTATGTGTCAGTGGATCTCCAACTTCCTAACTGGCAGACCACAGGCAGTAAGGATGGGCGGACATGTCTCAGCCTCCACCACTCTCAGCACTGGAGCCCCCCAGGGGTGTGTTCTGAGCCCCCTGCTGTACTCTCTGTACACATATGACTGTGTGGCCACTACCAGCTCCACCACCATCATCAAGTTTGCTGACGACACCGTCGTGGTGGGCCTGATCTCTGATAACAACGAGACGGCCTACCTGAAGGAGATTAGGAATCTGGAGAACTGGTGCCAGAGGAACAACCTCCTTCTAAACGTCAGTAAGACAAAGGAGCTGATAGTGGACTTCAGCACTAAGCAGGAGAGGAACTACCAGACCCCCGTCATCAACGAGTGCCCAGTGGAGAGAGTGGACAGCTTCAAATACCTCGGAGTTCACATCACGCAGGACCTGTCATGGTCCTGTCACATCAACACCGTGGTGAAAAAGGCCCGACAGCGTCTCTACCACCTCAGACGCTTGAGAGACTTCCAACTGCCCTCCAAGGTGCTCAGGAACTTTTACTCGTGCACCATAGAGAGCATCCTGGCGGGAAACATCTTAACCTGGTTCGGGAACAGCACCATGCAGGACAGACGAGCTCTACAGAGGGTTGTGCGGTCAGCTGAGCGCACCATCCGCTCCGAGCTCCCTGACCTGCACTCAATCTACAGCAGGCGGTGCTGGACCAAGGCCAGGAAGATCGTGAAAGACCTCAGCCATCCCAACAACAGACTGTTCTCTCTGTTGAGGTCAGGAAAGCGATTCCGCTCCCTGAAGACCAACACAGAGAGACTGAGGAGGAGCTTCTTCCTGCAGGCGATACGGTCTCTCAATCACACCACCACACAGTACTGACCCACACATATGGTTCTTACACACACACTGGACTTTCTGGACTTTGGTTTTTGCACAACACTGGTCACTATATTCTTCATTTCCGGTTAATACTTGTACAGCTGCTGTTATTGTGTATATATTTATTTATATTTAGATTTCTTCATACATTCTTATATAGTTCTATATTGTGTATTGTGTATTTTGTTGTACAGTTATTTTATTTTCAACTTAATTTATATATTTATCTTTATCTTATTCTTCCCAGTTAAATTTACCCTTCATTCTAATTTGTGTTGTACAGTTATTTCATTTTTAACCTTAATTTATATTTTATTCCTTCCTAGTTAAATTTACCCTTTTTAATTTTTCACATTTATTTCCTATCTTATTCATAGCCTTTTCCTTTTTTGTTCTCTTTAGGTCACGAGCAGTTGTCCAAGCATTTCACTACATATCGTACTGTGTATGACTGTGTACGTGACAAATAAAATTTGAATTTGAATTTGAATTACTCGTCATAATGAGACGTCTTCCCCGTCTCTGTCAGTCCCTGCATCCTTAAATGTCTCCAGTTGTACCAAGTTCCCTCTGACTGTCTCCTTGGTGCATTTAAACCCCTGTTCCTCCCTGTCCTCATCATCTGTTGCCTTCATCTCCATTATCAGTCATCATAATTTTACCCTCTCTTTTTTCTTTTTCTTTTTTTTTGCCTGTCCCGTTTGGATCTTTAGCCATCAGAATTGTTGTCTGAAGGCCAAGAAAGATGCCAAGTGGATTTACTTTACCAAGTGGATCATCATGGCCTTGCCATATTGGTCCATTCGATTGACCTTTATTATAATTATGTATTTATTTTATTTTCGTTTTTTAAAGACGGGACAGACATGACTAGGGGATAGGACAGGGAGAAAGAATGAAAGAGAGAGAGGGAGAGAAAGAAAAAAAGGGGAGAAGAGATGGTGAGAAGGGGGGAAGGAAAAAAAAGAAAAACAAACAAAAACACCTGGATCACCTGTATGGAGATAAAAAACAAAAAAAAAAACAGTAGAGAAAACAAACAACAAAGAGCAACATAATAAAAACAACACCATCACAATAAACTAGCTAACAGTAGATACTAAATATTACATGTTATTGTTTTTTGTTGTTTTTTTTTTTTTATTTCACCTGTTGAGAATGAAAAAAGAAAACAAGCAGAAGAAAACGAGAGTAATAGAATAAACAGCATCACTATGATATATGGGAATATAGCAGTAAATACTAAATATTAAACATTATTGTGCAGCACGTAAGATCGACTGCGCACAGTGTGCTTTGAGGTAGGAGCCAAAAAGGGTGTAGTTTGTGTGTGTGAGCACCTGTGTGTGATGAACGCGCTTGTTTTTAAAAGGTTCCTTCATGTAATGATCTGCTAGAGGGTGTGGGGAGTAGGGATGGGTATCGAAAACCAGTTCTTGTTGAGAACCGGTTCCCACTGTTTCAATTCCTTGGAATTGTTTGCCATTTTTGCAAACGATTCCAGTCACCCCGAATGACGTCACCACGTTGCGGCGCGTCATTTACCTGGCAGGAAACATGGCGCCTCAAAACTTTGGTTATACTTTACGAGAACGGATGACAACAGGGCAACTTGCAATACTTGAAAAGTAGATATTTCATTTAAGGGAGGAAACACTACAAATATGCAAAAGCATTTGCTCACAAAACACGCGATAACCTTAAATGAATGTCATGTTTTTAATTCCGCTCCGGACTCGTGAATCTCAACCCAGCAGCAGTGGTAACGTTTGCACGTCCTCTCCCGTTAATGCGGCAGGTAAATAATCAACTAACAGTGCATATTATGTTAGCGCGATCTGCCTTATTACAAAACCTGCAATTACTGTGCATTTAGGTAACCATGATGAGCGAGACAGACAGAGTCTGGCTCAGATGCTGGCAGTTCTTGCTACAGTCTAGCGGTAGCGTCTCCTTTCAGGCCAGGATAGACGAATGTCACCGAGCAGTGACTAAGTTTGTGGTAAATGGCTTGAACCCATTTGCCACAGCAGTTGCCCCCGATTTTCGCTAAGTGAATGTGATTAATTGTAGGCAGGGACATTACTGGATATTCTTGTGTAATTGCTACTGAACAATTTATGTTATACTTTGTTATTGCTACAGAAGAATATTTATTTTATTATTTTACATTTACAATTTTTTTCCTGGGGACCCTGTGACACCCCATTGAAGAGCCGTAGGCTGGATCTCTTAAGATCTCA